AGATTTTATCGAAGAAAGATCTTCTTTGTGGTCATAAGACCAAGAGTCTTGAGTTCTGTGAGCATTGTGTGTTTGGGAAGTTACATAGAAAGAAGTTTCCTAAGGTTGTTCACAAGACAAAAGGCACGCTGGATTACATCCATTCAGATTGTTGGGGTCCCTCTAAGGTGGAGTCGCTGAAAGGTCACAGGTATTTTGTGTCCATGATTGATGATTATTCAAGGAAGACTTGGATAACATTCATGAAACATAAAAGTGAAGCTTTCAACAGCTTTAAGGAGTGGAAGATACTGGTGGAGAATCAAACGGAGAAGAAGATTAAGAGGCTTTGTACTGATAATGGTCTGGAATTCTGTTCATCAGAGTTCAGTCAGTTTTGTAAGGATGCAGGGATTGCTAGGCACCATACAATCAGGCATACACCACAGCAGAATGGTGTAGCAGAGAGAATGAACCATATATTTTTGGAGAGAGCGAGGTGCATGCTTTCAAATGCTGGTTTAGAGAAGAGGTTTTGGGCTGAAGCACGGCTTGTTATTTGATAAATCTGGGGCCACATACCGGGATCGAGTGTCGAATACCTAATGAGGTGTGGTCAGGTAGGTCTGCTGATTACTCTATTCTGAGAGTTTTTGGTTGCACAGTTTACTATCATGTTAATGAAGGAAAGTTGGAACCAAGAGCTAAGAAGGGAGTGTTTATGGGCTATGGAGATGGTGTCAAGGGATACAGAGTTTGGTCTCCTTCTGAGAAACGAGTGATCATGAGCAGGAATGTTGTGTTTGATGAGAGTTCTATGATCAAAGTTTCAACTGAGTCTCTTTCAGAAGCAGATCAAGGGGATTTTTGACAAGCAGGTGGAGCTGCAGGAAGTGCAGTCGGATGAACCATATCGATCGATGACAGATCAACCGTGTCGATCGATGACAGGTCAGCAGTGTCGATCGACATCAGCCCCTCAGTATCGATCGATGTCAGATAGTCAGGATCGATCGATAGCGGAAGAAAAGGTCGATCGATCATTGACAAACGAGCAGCCCGAAACATCAAATTCTGAGAGTCAACTTGCTGGGTCTGAAAAACGCAGTATTGCTAAAGATAGACCAAGGAGAGTTGATGTCAGGCCACCAGCGAAGTATCGGTTTGAAGATATGGTGGGTTATGCACTACAAGTTGCAGAGGAAGTGGACACTTACGAGCCGTCTACTTACAGAGAAGCTATCTCAAGTTATGCATCTGAGAAATGGTTTGCTGCAATGGGAGATGAGATGGAATCTCATGAAAAGAATCACACATGGGATCTGGTCACACTACCACATCGGAGAAAGGTTGTGACTTGCAAGTGGATTTACAAGTTAAAAGATGGTCAATCACCAGAAGAAGGACCAAAGTACAAATGTCAAGTTGTTGCTAGAGGTTTCAGTCAAAGAGAAAGCGTGGACTACAATGAGATCTTCTCACCTGTAGTCAGACACACTTCTATCAGAGTGCTATTTGGCAATAGTGGCACGTCAGGATCTGGAGTTGGAGCAACTTGATGTGAAGACTGCTTTTCTTCATGGAGAACTTGAGGAGGAGATCTATATGACTCAACCTGAGGGTTTTCTGGTTCCTGGTAAAGAAGATCATGTTTGCAAGTTGAGGAAGTCACTTTATGGACTTAAGCAGTCTCCTAGACAGTGGTACAAGAGGTTTGACAGCTATATGGTCAAGTTGGGCTACGACAAGAGTCCTTATGATTGTTGTGTCTACATGAGCAAGGTGGAGGATGGATCATATATCTACTTGGTGCTGTATGTAGACGACAGGCTGATAGCTACCAAGAAGAAGTGTGATATTTAGAAGCTGAAAGAGCTACTGAGTTCTGAGTTTGAGATGAAAGATTTGGGTGCTGCAAGGAATATTCTAGGAATGGAGATCTTCAGGGATAGGGCGAAGAAGAAGTTGTTCTTGTCACAGAAGGCCTACATTGAAAAGGTTTTGACGAGATTTGATATGCTTAATGCTAAGCCTATCGATACTCCATGTGCTACAAATTTTCATCCTACCATGAGTGATGAAATGTCTGAAGGGGAAATCGATTATATGTCACGAGTTCCATATGCTAGCGCTGTAGGAAGTTTGATGTATGATATGGTCTGTACAAGACCAGATCTTGCACATGCAGTGAGTGTGGTGAGCAGGTTTATGGTTCAGCCACGCAAGGAGCACTGGATGGCTGTGAAGAGGATTTTTCGGTACCTTAAGGGTACATCTGATGTTGGTCTTGTCTATGGAGACAAGGATCCAAGACTGGTTACTGGTTATTCTGATTCAGATTATGCTGGAGATGTGGACAGTAGGAGATCTATGACTGGTTACGTATTTACTTTGGGTGGTTCTGTTGTGAGCTGGAAGGCGACTTTGCAGTCGACAGTGACTTTGTCTACTACTGAGGCAGAGTATATGGCATTGACAGAAGCTGCTAAGGAGGCAATATGGTTGAGAGGATTGGTCAGTGATCTTGGTCTTCATCATGATCAGGCTACTGTGTTCTGTGATAGCTTGAGTGCTATCTGTTTAGCCAAGGATCAGGTTCATCATGAGAGAACCAAGCATATTGATGTGAGATACCATTTTATGAGAGATGAGAAGAGGATTGAAGTGAAGAAGGTAGGAACAGCTGATAATCCTGCAGATATGTTCACTAAGCCGGCTCCTCACAGCAAGTTCAAGCATTGTCTTGATTTGCTGAACATCTCAAACTGTTAATCTGGCCCTGATGGGCATCTGGCCCTAAGGGGCATCTGGCTCTGAGGAGCGTCTGGTCCGACGGGGCATCAGACATCTGATTTCGACGGAACATCTGAGGCAAAGAGAGAGTCTGGTACATCTGAGCACGAAGAAGTGCATCTTGGTACATCTGTTTATGGAAGATTCAAGTCAAGGTGGAGATTTGTTGAAATATGCCTTGAATCTGCGAGCTGGCAAATCGATCGATACAGGTGTCATGTATCGGTCGATCTGACCCGAGACATATCGGTCGATACAAGAGTTAATGTATCGGTCGATATGTGTCAAATCCGAGAAAATATGGAAAGTTTCATTAAACGTTTTCTTATATATCTTTAGGGTTTTACCCTATTCTGTAACACGAGTTGTACTCTGAAAATTTAGCCTCCACTAATAAAGTACTCCTTTTGCCCGTAGATCAAACCACGTTAAATCTCTGTGTCTTTCTTTCATGTTCATCCAATCTGTTAATCTATATCTTCTCACATCTGTCACAACAAAATCAATGTTAGTTCTCGATTCTTTAGTGATACTCTAGAAGACCTCCTTTATATTCCCATAACAATTAATTTGATGTTCTCACAAGAATTTTGGTAAATAAACGTAAAAACTATCTGAAAACAATTATGTTATAAATAATATAGAATTTAAAAAATCATATTTATCAAAAAAATAAAGACTACCAGAAAAATAGCTTCATATCTTGGTTAACTCTAACAAAATATAAAACACACATTTTAATTAAATATTAGAATATCAAATCTTCTACTATCTTTTAAACTAAAATGAAAATCGGTATCAAAGAACTTAATATAAAATATTTTGAAAGGAAACTAAATTGAAATTTAGTATATTTTTATGGAAAATTATATTCTGGAAATGTAAACTTACAAAAAATTAAAAAAAAAAATTAATTTGATATCTAGACTAACTATTTGAAAATATTACATGTAATATATATAAGGTTATATTTTGAAGTTAGAGTTGATTGAATCTTAGAAAATGCAGATGGTGGATATCAAACTCCTATTTGAAGTTGGAGTTTGTTCAATATTTTGAAACAAAATACATAACAAAGAGATAAAATAACTTTACTGTACTTACTAAAAAAAATATCTACCTTATCAGTATAGTTAAAAAAAATAAAAATTAAGAAAAAATAAATAATTATATTTTTAAAAATTTATTATAATTAGAAAGGTCTATGATTTTAAAATGAATAGTAAAAGTACATAGATACAATTGTTGTAAGACAATTATAAACCTTAATGCTGTTTTAGTTGAAAGTAAATGTAAAATTTAAAATAAAATTTTTAAAATTAAATATTCACGAAATCTTCATTAAACTGGTTTTAATATAAAAATATTATGTATACCAAAAGTATTTATTAAAAAAAAAAATCAATATGTTCTCAGAATTCTTTCATTATCTGCATGTTTATAATATTTGTTCAATCTATGACAATTTTAATGTTTCATGAAATTAATATAAATCATATAACAGTTTTTATTAACTTCCCGTCCGTAGGACGGGCTGGACCTAGTGATATTGTATATTTTGGTTTTAACAACTAAAATCCGAATATATTTAAGAGATATTTCCCAAAAATTAGTTAGCACTAATCATGATGTGGAAATTTGATTTCATTAACAATATTTGATTTTCAAAGTTTAAGGTTTTTCTCTCGACGAATTCTTGATGTCATAGTTTTAATGAAAAATATTTAACCAAATACCAAAATTTACATTAACTGACTATTTGAGTTAGTTATTTATGTTATAAATTTGTATTTAAATAATTATTGAGATCTTTTAATATTTTGGAAACTTATACGTGCTAAATTTCAAATTTGGTATGAGTGATTTTTGGGTTTTTAATTTTTTGGATATTCGTTTGGTTTTGAGTTCGAGTAAAATTCAAAACCCAAAATATTGTAGTCGTGTGTTCATGTGAAATTTATTTAGGTTCGGATTCATTTTTTTAAGTTGGTTCTGTTAATATTTTCCGGTTAGGTTTTTCTGTTCAGCCCTATTGTGGTGTGAGCTTATGAACTGGTGACATAAAAAGGGCTGGTGTTTGAACGTTCTTACCCATCGCATAGACCTTAAGACTGGACTCATGGACGCTTCGTAGCCGATGATACTCTGAAGTTTAGTCTCTCATACGGGTAAATATTGAAGTGTCTAACATTTTCTTTTAACACGGAAGAAAACAAAAGAAACGTTAACACGTCTTGTTCTAACTAGATAACATGTACATAGTTTGCCAAAACAACACACGAGTTTAGATTTATATTCATAGGAAATACAGAAGCAGCAATTCCAAAAGAAACCTCCATGGGTTTTAAATGAAACATAGATTAAAAAGAGGTCAAGAGTTAAACTTAATATTCCTTGAAGCCACAAACGTTTTTACAACCAAACAACCGGATCAATGGTGGTTGCTTCAGGGTCTTCTGCGTTTAAGATTATTGAGATGATGAGTCGCGTGCGCAATAATCCCTTCCTTGAGTGTTGCTTTTCTCCCATGTGCAAAGTTCCACAGTACAGGAAATTGATACCGACCACTTGGGTTAAACTCGTTCAGTTCCTGGAGTGCTGTCTTCACTGCGTTCTTCACATCTTCTCCCCACTTTTCACTCAGCTTCTTAAGTTTCTCATCTTCCTCATCCACAACGTCCTACAACAACAGTAACCAGAGTCAAGATCTGCAAAACAGACAAAGAAATCAAATGGAAGAACCTGTGTTACAAAACCTCAAGTTTATCTCCAGATCTCTGAATTTTAAACGGTTGCCATTGTGAATCCATGACGCGTTCCTGCCATTTCGAGCAAAGCCTGGCGTGTTGCAGCGCAACGTTTTGGCCACTGAATCTCTGCTCGCATACTTTGAGGAAAGGTTTTTCATCAACTTGTCCAATTATCTTTACTCTGACCGTGGACCTTTCACGAGATAATCCTCTCAATCCCTGCAGATACAGAAACAAATGTAAAACCACCACACATGTTATTATTAGCAGAGAGCATTTCAAGAAGAAAAAAAAAAGTATTACATTAATCAATTCTTTGTGTGCTTCTTGGATCTCATCATTGCTTTGGCTTAGTTGTTTGCAGAGTGCGGAGTTTATATACTCCGAATCTTCTAACTCACTACGCTTCTCCTCCAGTTCCTCTATTACTTTCGTCAGCTCTTCATTCTTCTCCTTGATCATTTTCTCGAGCTCTTCATTCTTCTCCTTGATCATGTCGCTCATCTTTTTCTTTTTTTTTGTTGGTTGCTTCCACGGTGGTCACTGGTCAAACATTGGACTATATAAGTATCTAAGCCACTGACCAACCTTAGAAATGTTTGGTAAATACAACAACATAATATTACTAAACATGCAAATCTGCTACATGGTTCCCTTTGGAACCAAACCTCTCATGCAACCCAGGATCAAAATCAGAAGAAGAGGTCGTCTGCAAAAGAAGATCGAAATCACAAAGTTTACCTTTACTTAGTGAAGAAAACGAAGAAACTGTTCCCTCAAGCTCGTTCCATTTCACGCCCCCTTCTTGGTTTCGTCCTTCACACAACTTTGAAGACTGGAGAGGAACTGAGAAAGAAACGTCGATCTAAACAAACCCTAAAATGAAACGACGTAGTTTACGGATCTGAAACGTCGATCTAAACGAAACCTAAAAAAAGACGACGTAGGTTACGGATCCGTTTAGTTTCACATATATAAATGGGCTACAGGGTTACAATTTTCTGTTAAGCCCGTTAAGATCCGCAAGTAGCAGACCCGTTTAAACATCTCTACTTCCACCTCTTTGATCTTCTGTTTTAGTTGCTCTTTTCTTTTGAAAGAATGATTTTTTATTACTTGCTGTACTGCTGCGGAAACTGTGAATTCCAAGTTTTACTAACCCATGTTTTGTTTAATGGGACTCTGCATGTACAGATTGGGCAGTAATATCTATTTTATTAAAACATAAATACTATTTTAAACTAACATGATGATTAGTGCCACAGATACGAATATTTACAAAATTATTTAATTTATAGTTAAGATTTTTTTATCTTTTAATTTTAATTTTGTAGTTTATATGTTTGAAAAAATATAATATTTTTAAACATACATCTGATTTTACTTGTAAACTTTTGATCGATCAATTATATTCGGATATTAGGTGTTTTGCCCACACTTGTGGGTATAATTCTCTTATGAATATTAATTAGTTGATGTTTCATTAATTTAAAAATCATCATAATAAGTTATTATTTATGTTTTCAAAAATTAAAAATCAAACATCAAATAATTTTCAATGACAAAACTCAAAAATCTGAAATACTTAAAAGAATATATTTCTATAAATATTTTTCTTGATTTATATTTAATTATAATATTTAGTTCTTAATTTTAATTTTTATAATAGAAAAACATATTTTCAAGATAATAATATAATGCATAAGTTATTTATTTTCTAAAAATATTATAGCATATTTTTAACTATATAATAATTATATAAGATTATAGAAATTATGACATATAATTAAAATTACCTAAAATCATGGAGAACTTAATGAATTAGCAAATTCACTTTTTAAATATTTTTTCTTTTCTTGGTCTCTGCCCACCTTACCAAAGATTAGGAGCTTCTTGTGGCGTGTGGCATCGGGTGCTGTAGCTGTGGCTGAAAGGTTAAATTCTAGAGGGATGTTTGTAGACTCTACGTGTAAGTTGTGTTTGGTTGGGTGTGAGTCCATAGAGCATGTTCTATTCAAATGCTCTGTTGCTCAGGATGCGTGGGAGTTAGCAGGTTTTACACCGGTTGCGCAGGTACACAACAAGAGCTTAATTGACTTAATGAAGTTGTCCATTCAAAGGATGTCAGATGAGTCTATACCGGCAGTACAGAGGAAAGCTATCCCATGGATTCTCTGGGCTATTTGGAAGAATCAGAATACTATTTTGTATGCTGATACCCAGGTTTCTTTGGTCACTCAAATGCAACAAGCTATTGAGGATTCTCGACTTTGGCATGAAGTCAATTTCTCTCAACAGATTATGGAGGACAGAAGGGGTTTGTGTGGAGAAGTCAACAATTAGGAACCGGCTATGATGGGTTATAAGAAGTGCAACATTCATGCAAATTGGAGGAATGCAAAGCTTCATAGTGGTGTGGCTTTTATCACAAGAGATCACACTGGTAACGTTATCCATCATGCTAGAGAAGCCCTTACTTTCTCTCCTAATAGGCTGACGGCTGAATTGAGGTGTTTGGAGTGGGCTTTAAGTAGTATGAGGGACCTAGCGTATCAGGAGGTTATCATAGGATCGGATTGTCATGAGTTGGTTGAAGCTGTTATGCATCCTAACAAATGGCCACGTTTTCGAGTTTTGCTCCAACGGATAAGTTTGTTATGTTCTTCTTTCTCCTTGGTAGCTTTTGAACTGAGTCTATTCATTCCAATAAGGTTGCGAGAGAGATTGCAAAAAGCGTTTTGCGTGATGGTAGGTTTCAATCGTATCTTGCGTTAGGGGGTCCAGCTTGGCTTCACGTTCAGATTCGCAGAGAGGCTTCATCAAGAGCGGGAGTCCGTATTTGAAGCTCCTTCCCTCAGCTTCTTAGAGAATTTATCATTTGATGCTAGTAGATCTTGTCTTTAGATTGAGCATTGTTTTCTTGGCTTTTGAGTTTCTTTTGTTCCTGAACTTTCCCGTCATGGGGTTTGTATTGCTCTTTTGATGTCGTTAAAAAAAAAATATTTTTTCTTGAGTGATGATTTATATTTAATTAATAATAGATAATTTTTTATTTTACTTTTAAATTATATAATAAAAATAAATTTTCAAGATAACAACATAATATATAAGAATTACTTTATTTTCTAAAAGTATAATATTATTAGTGTAGATTATTTCAATTAAAGAATAACTACAAATTTTTATATCTTAATTTTAAATTTCTAATAGAAAAATATATTTTCAAGAAATCAACTTAATACATAAGCAATATCTTATTTTTTAAGAATATGATACTAATAATACGAATTTGTTTTAAATATATAATAAATTATGATAAATTATATAAATTATGATAAATTATATAAATTATGATAAATTATCAAAATTAACTAACATCATGGAAAATATGACAAATTAGCAAACATCAAATTCACTTATTTAATAATAGTATAGATTTTTTACATGTTAATTTAAATTTTATAATAGAAAATATATTTTCAAGATAACAGCATAATACATAATAATTAACTTATTTTCTAAAATATCATATTATTAATATAAATTAGCATTAATTATATAATAATAAACAAAATTATAGAAATTATGATAAATGATCAAAATTACCCAGGATCATGGAGACAAATCAACAAATTCACTTTTCAAATAATTGTTTTGATGATTTATATTTAATTACTAATAATATAATTTTTATATTTAATTTTAAGTTTTATAATGGTAAAATATATTTTCAACATAACAACATAATAGATAATAATTATCTTATTTTAGAATAATAATAAATTATTAATATAACTTCGTGTAGTTGTATTTAAATATTAAATTATTAATATAAATTCATTTTAGATAAATATAATAGTTTTTATATCTTAATTTACAATTTAAGTTTTATATATAAAAATATATTTCAACATAATTCACAAGAATTATCTTATTTTCTAAAAATATGATATATTCATATAAATTTGTTTTATTTAAAAAAAATATTTATAAATATTTAAAATATGATAGATAAACAAAATTACCTAAACTTATGGAGAACATGACAACTAGGAAAATTTACTTCTTAAATAACTAACTAGGATTATGGAGACAAATCAACAAATTCACTTTTCAAATAATTGTTTGATGATTTATATTTAATTATGAATTATTTTTAATTATTAATAATATAATTTTTATATCTTAATTTTAAGTTTTATAATAGGAAAATATATTTTCAACATAACAACATAATACATAACAATTATCTTATTTTAGAAAAATAATAAATTATTAATATAAATTCATTTTAGTTATATTTAAATATTAAATTATTAATATAAATTCGTTTTAGATAAATATAATAGTCTTTATATCTTAATTTACAATTTAAGTTTTATATATTAAAAAGTATTTCAAGATTTCAAGATAACAACATAATTCACAAGAATTATCTTATTTTCTAAAAATATGATATATTCATATAAATTTGTTTTATTTAAAAATAAAATATAATATATATATATATATTTAAAATATGATAGATAAAAAATTACCTAAACTTATGGAGAATTTGACAACTAAGCAAATTTACTTCTTAAATAATAGTATAGATATAGATTGATTTATTTAGCTCACATAAACCATAATTTTTAAATAGGTTAAAATCATATTAACTTTGTTAGTTGCATTTATTTTGATTTATTGTATTCAACTCATTATGGATCTTCGTAAAATCATTTATAATTTGATATATGTTATTTGGGGAAAGAAACATGGAAGTCATGTTATAAGTTTAGAGTTGTGTGAACATAATCAATAATCTTTTGAAATTTCATGCATGTATATAAAATTTATAAACTAAACCATAATAATTTGTTAACATATTGTTTTCACGTTTTATTAGTTTTTGAGTCATTTATAATATTAATTTATGCATTTATTTTTGTTTTAATTATAGATTTGAAAAATATATAAAGAAAGATAATTTGTGTATAAAAATCTATATATTTTAAAATATAAATATATTTCCTTTATTTCTTTTGTTGGAATATATTTCCTTTATTTGTTGACAAAGATATTTTTTTATATTTCATAAAAAATAGTTAGAATTAAATTCATAGATATTTCCTTTTTTCTTGATGTTGTTTTATAAAAGAATAAAAAAACAATGGAAACTTTATTTTAAAACTTAATTAGAACATAATTAAACAAAAAGGAAATTAAAGTAATGTCATGATGGTAATTATGTATAATTTTAATTCATTATCGTTAATTTTTAAAAAATATGTATGTTCATGAATGTTTTATATGTTCATGAATTAGATAAAAATTTGATATCAGTTTTCAATTATGCTCAGCTAATGGTATGGCTGTCATTTGATTATAAATGTAAAAAATATTATCTTAAAAGTTTTCACTAAAGCTAAAATAAATTAACCACTAATGAATTGATTATATCATTTGATAATAGTTTAATTTAAAAACATTATTTACTATAACAAAATCTTATAATTTAATTCTTAAATAACTAATTAAATTAATAATCATTATTATAAATTATAATCTTTTATATAGAGTTGTTAAACTAATCTACACTTATGTGGTCCAACACTGAACACATAGTACATACACTGATTTGTCCAATCCATGTATCAAAACAATTGTATACACTAGACCACAAAATAACAAGAACAATCTCAAAAATCTATTTGTAAAGGTAATCCGGTCTGGTTCAGTTTACTTACACCGCTTGGGTTTTCAATACGGATCGACCCAACATATATCATCCTCCACAGCTTTCTTCCAACGTTCCTTGAATCTCTTCATCTCCACATATGATTTCTTCCTCACTTGTGCTCTATTATCCGCTTCACGAGAATCTGAAGATGATTTATGTAAAACCTTCTAAAGAAAAAAAAAAAAAAAAAAACAGATTCGTAAACATATATTTCTACTTCAAGAAACATATACAAACACATAAAGAATCTCGCCGTACGTACCCCTGATTTCGACATTGTCTCATTTCCCGATGAACTTGAAGCGGAGTCAATCACACCGAGTGTGCGAAGACCGTAATGAACTATGTACTCGGCATCAACAACACCTACATTTTTCTTCCGGTCACCCTGTTCACGACCAAGAATGTGTTTAAACAAGAACGAGGACATAAAGGGTTATTAAAACCGGTTTAAAAGGTTAGAAAAATTAACTAACTTGTGCACAATAACCAAGCTGCAAGTCCAAGCCCCAGGCATGGATCAAATCGTTCTGCATAGAAAGCAAAAGCATCAAAAGACTGTTGTCACACTAGAACTAGACATCTGAACCAAACTGGACCAAAAAGTTACCTGAATCATATACCACGAACATCTCCATGCTGATCTAGAGAAAACAGGTGCCATCATTTCTACCCACCTAACATATCCAAGTTACATATTATAGCAGAATAATTTGCTTTCCTAAATAGTGTTAATTTAACATGGTTTGGGTCTCACCGTACGGTTATCGTGTCCAAAACTTTCTAGTCATTAAAATAAAGAAAAAGAAAAAGAAATTCACCGAAACATTTGTAATAAACATTTACCCGATACAGGGAGGATTGGTGCTATGGTCATCGCATCGACCGCTACCTTTATTTTTATACATCCGCCTATGAAATTTCAAGTTCTTGCGACGAGCAGTGATAGGATAATGCGGCTCTGATTTTGTAGTGTCGAGAGCGGGTTGGGATATCTCAAGACCTTCTTCTTTGACAATGGATAGGTATCTAAAAATAAAATTATTTAATCATGAAGATGAGAAAACAAGAAAGATAAAAAGAAACAAAAGCCAAAATTTGGTGGAGTACCGTTGAGGATTGAAATGAGCTACACCAAGATCTTCGTCCCAAAGAAATATATACTCATACTCCGCAACTATATCAGGATGCAAGAACCGCTTGGCGAACCACCTGTGACATTAAAATCATTCAGTTTATTAGTAGATAAATATCTGAAAAATATAAACCAAGAATTGCAAGAAATGAACCATTTTGTTTGATTCATCACGGAAACATGAACTGCATGCTCATTCCATGGATACTGCTTCCAATCTTCCACAAACCCATCGTAATGAAAAAGCATGACCACAAAATCTCGAGAAAACTGAAAATTCACATCAATTAGTATAATTAAATTTTTGAAAAGGCGAAAATTCTTACGGAGGAAAAAAGACAGACAAAACCTTTTGGATAACTTTGTTGACTAACTCCTTTTGCTTGATTCCAACTGCCATGGCTAACAAACTCATTGCACGGTCCGGCTTCCCCTGAAAATAAACCGAGAAAGGAGAACAGAACATACAACAAAAGATTAAACTACAAAAACAAAAAATAAAAATGTAATACTTTTACAAATTTTGAGGAATCTGTGACTCGTTTAACAACCTTTTCTATGTGACGGTAGTTCCATAGATGTTGCGTTTCCAAGTTTGATGTCTTGGCGATAATTCCTTGCGGTAATGCTTCACTACCCAATGGCTTATTGAGATTCTAGTAAAAGAATATTAATCATAAAAATTTTGATATCAAATAATCTCACAAAAAAAAACTCAAACAAAACTGAGTTTATTCATTATTCAAAAACCAACCTCGCATGTAGGGGACGTTGCGTTCTGCGTTTTATTAGCGACATTATGTATCTTATTAGTGACGTTATGCATCGTATCAGTGGTGTTATGAATCTTATCAGTGACGTTATGACTCTTATCAGTGCCATTATGCAACTTAGCAGTGACGTTATGTATCTGATCATTGATTTGCCATCTTAGCAATTTCTGCAAAATTAAAAAAATTAAAAATCTTATAAATCAAAAGAAGAATACTCTTATGATCTAGTATTGACTATAAAACCAGAACGCTACAACCGTGAAAAGTCAAACATCATCGAACATATATATATAGAGCTTACGTGATGTCAAATATAAAATAGATAATTTACCTCTTTAAGTTCTTTATCAATATAAGCATTTCCAATGAAGTAAGCGCCACAGATCAGAGCAGTGGCGGTCAAGATACTACAGAGACATGATCTATTCATCGAATCCTGCAAATTCATAGACTCTCTTCAGATAAGGAAAACAAAGAACAGAGTATAAACTTAAATCAGGTTTTGTAGACTATAAAGAAAAACATGTCGATTAAGCAGAAAAATAAAACTAATTTGCTGAGGTCATATGGACAGCACAAGATATATGAACATGACAAGGAAATATGACTAATGATTCCGTTAATCACCTAATCAAAGTTTTCATCGTCAACGAATCAACGATTAACAAACCATAAACACACATAGGGGTGGGCACGGATCGGATATCCGGGTTTTTGAAGATATTTGTGATTTGCTTCGTATGTTACGGATATCTGATTTTGGTATTTGCTTTGCTTCGGAAAAATACGGATATCCGGAAAAACGGATATCCGGAAAATAAACAGATATTTGTGGATATTTACGAATACTTACGAATATCTCATCCGTTACAAATAATCTTATATAAATTTATTTTGTAAATTTTTTTTACATGATATATAAAATAAAAAATAAAGAAGTAGTGAATTTACATATTTTATAATTTTATATGTTTAAGTTAACAACTATAATAACACAAAACTTAAGATTTTTTTATAAATTTTTCTCTTCTTTTTATCTAATAATTTTATATAAGTAATAATGTGAATCTAATTAGTCAAATCATAACCTATAATAATAATTTTATACATTTAAAATTTTAAATATAATCAAAATATACATATATTTATATATTTCCGGATCGGATCGGATATCCGCTTCCTAAAATTTTAATATTTATGATTTGCTTCGATTTTAACGGATATTGATTTTTAGTATTTGCTTTGATTCGAAAGTTTACGGATATCCGGAATTTTCGGATCGAATCGAGACGAATAACGAATCAAATCAAATTTAACAAATAAAATGCCCAGTCCTAAACACACACAAACAATTTGATATATGATGTAAACAAAAGGAGACGAAGGAAAGAAGATAAGCTCTCTTCACCTGTTTCATGAATTGTGTCTCGCTTAAAAATCAAACCTTTTGGATAAGGAAGAGGAAGAGACCCCAGAACGTAGCAGAAGAAGAAACGATTATATCAAAATGTTGGTTGTTTTAAATTCTCGTCTAAAAAAGCCAAGCAATCAGACTCTTGACTTTTTTTCGTCTGAGTTTTGACCCTCCCCAAAAAAAAAAAAAAGTCCTAAAGAAGCTTTACAAAATCATGTTCACTTTGCTTTAAAAAAAAATCTTAAACAAAAAGCTGAAAAATATGAACAAAACATTAAACATTGTCGTAGTAAAATCTGAAAACTGATGATATTAGACTATTAGTTAGAGAGACACGTTTTGTGAGATCGTGGAGTATCTCAAGGGTTTGCAGGAGAGACTGAGAAGCGTTTTTTCGATAGCGGCAAGTGGTGAGACACGTGTTACAATATGATTCGTAATAAAATCATTTATTTTTTCAGGCATGTCTATAAGACATGAAGATATTATTTGTTGTCGTCGTCAACAAACCGAAGATATTATTTGTTGTCGTCGTCATAAAAAGAGAGAACTTTATCTGAATCTTCTCCGAGTTCAATGTTCTCGTTAACTTTAATCCAACCCCATCTCCGTATTCCAGAGCTTCCGGCGACACAAACCCTAAAGTTGTCGACTTTATCTGCCATCACCGATTCCAGACCAAAGCGAGATGAACAGAGGAACAGAAGACTATCTGCGTTTCGTCTCTTTTCCAAAAAGAAATCAACTTTCGATATGGGTTTCAGCGATTCATTCGTTTTAGAGCTTCCCGGAGATAATAATCTGAGTTACGATTCATCGTCACGAGTGGATTACGCTCTGCTCGCGGAGTGGCTACAGTCTTCTAAAGGGATGCGACTCATCAAAAGGATTCACGCGATGGCTTTAAAGTGTTTCGACGACCAAGTGATTTACTTCGGTAACAATTTGATTAGTGCTTGCGTGAGACTCGGTGATTTGGTTTATGCACGCAAAGTGTTCGACAGTATGCCTGAGAGAAACACTGTTACTTGGACAGCGATGATTGATGGGTACTTGAAGTACGATCTCGAAGATGAGGCTTTCTCGCTGTTTGAGGATTATGTTAAGCATGGGATTCGTTACACGAACGGGAGGATGTTTGTGTGTTTGTTGAATCTGTGTAGTAGGAGACCAGAGTTTGAGCTAGGGAGGCAGGTACATGGGAGTATGGTGAAAGTTAGAGTAGAGAATCTCATTGTTGAGAGTTCTCTCGTTTACTTCTACGCGCAGTGCGGTGAGTTGACGAGTGCTTTACGAGCTTTTGATATGATGGAGGAGAAGGATGTGATATCTTGGACAGCTGTTATATCTGCTTGTTCGAGGAAAGGGCATGGGGAGAAAGCTATAGTGATGTTTATTGGAATGATGGATCATGGTTTTTTGCCTAATGAGTTTACGGTGTGTAGTATCTTGAAGGCTTGTAGTGAAGAGAAAGCGTTGAGATTTGGGAGGCAAGTACACAGCTTGGTGGTTAAGAAGATGATTAAGAAAGATGTTTTTGTAGGGACTTCGCTGATGGATATGTATGCTAAGTGTGGGGAGATTTCAGATTGCAGGAAAGTGTTTGATGGGATGAGCAATAGAAACACAGTCACGTGGACTTCGATAATCGCTGCACATGCTCGGGAAGGTTTTGGTGAGGATGCTATAAGCCTCTTTAGGGTGATGAAGAGGCGGCATCTGATAGCTAACAATCTGACAGTAGTAAGCATCCTTAGAGCATGTGGATCTGTTGGGGCTTTATTGTTGGGGAAGGAGCTTCATGCTCAGATCATCAAGAACTCTATCGAAAAGAATGTCTACATTGGGAGTACTTTGGTTTGGCTATACTGTAAATGCGGAGAGTCTCGTGACGCTTTCAATGTTCTTCAGCAGTTGCCATCTAGAGATGTGGTTTCATGGACAGCTATGATCTCTGGATGTTCGAGCTTAGGACATGAAGCAGAAGCGCTGGACTTCTTGAAAGAGATGATTCAAGATGGTGTAGAGCCAAATCCGTTTACATACTCCTCAGCTTTGAAAGCTTGTGCTAACTCAGAAGCTCTCCTTATCGGCAGATCAATCCATTCCATTGCAGAGAAGAATCATGCTCTGTCAAATGTCTTTGTAGGAAGTGCTTTGATTCATATGTATGCAAAATGTGGGTTTGTCTCGGAAGCTTTTAGGGTATTTGACAGTATGCCTGAGAAGAACTTGGTCTCATGGAAGGCTATGATAATGGGTTATGCGAGGAATGGGTTTTGCAGGGAAGCATTGAAGCTAATGTATAGAATGGAGGCAGAGGGATTTGAGGTTGATGATTATATATTTGCAACCATTCTGTCTACGTGTGGGGATATTGAGCTATTAGATGAAGCTGAAACTTCTGCAACTTGTTACTTAGAGACCTCTTGATGTTTCTTCTCTAGAAGCACCTATTCATGTTCTTATATGACAAAGTTCTTGAAGAAGATGAGTTCCACAATAGCATCAAATGTACAAATTTATTTTGTAAGATAAAGTTTAGCTATTAAAAAAAAAAGTTAGCTACTAAGTCCTGTCGATCTGGTTCAAATAATTTTACATCTTGTTTAACTCACACTAGATTTTGATCAGCGCTTTTCAAGCACGAAAATATTTTATGTTTAAAACCTTTTATAACTGGAATTTGTCTTAATTTAAAGAATGTTTTGGTATAAATCAGTTCATCAAAATTTGTGGTGATGATTGTTTTTCATTAGTTTTTAGTTTCAGTTTTTTTATTTTTTGATTTTGTTTTAGATTTTGGTTTTTGGTTTTTAGTTTTTAAGTTTCTATTTTTGCATTTCAGCTTTTTGTTTGGGTTTTTAATTTTTAGATCCGCTAAGTTAGTTTGAACTGATATTACCAACAAACAAATCCTAAATAATCAAATATCTAATTTAAAACTGAAAATATGACAAAAAAATTAAAAAAAAAATTACAATAGTTTATTTTGTAAATAAACAAAAGCAAAAAATATAACTAGCGTTTTCAGATTTTGGTTTTGGATTTTAGTTTTTAGATTTGGTTTTTGGTTTTGCTTTACATTTTTTTTAAATCAGTAAATTATTTAAGAAAAATAAAACAATAAATTATTTAAAATTTACCATTGAAATTTATCAAAACAAAGTAATTTTTATTTAAAATAAAAAATATATTAACATGTTTTAAAGTACATGGTTAAAATAAATGATTAATAATAGACAATTTGTTTTGTTAAAAATATTAAATACCTTTGGGCATGAAAATAATAATTGATTTTTTGATCTATTAAGGTGGAAAGTTTATTCAATATTTTTTGGAGATTTTCCTTAATACTAAGCCCAAAAACCAAACCATATAATTTGTCCTAAGAACCAAAGTAAGCTCAAGACTATATCTCATAAATAACTACCGGTTTAATTTAAGTAATGCGGTTCAATTAACTATATGGATTTTATTATTTGTAACACTCTAGACAGAATACAAATTTAAATGACAACTTGTATTAGTAGGTAAAAATAGGATTATATTTAATAGAGTAGATTCTGACAAGTCGTAAGCAAATTCTTTCGATGTTTTTAGAACCTAGAATTAACCGGGGGGGGGGGGTTTATCAAAAAATAAATTAACAGTTTTTTTTTCTAAGTATATATGGGTCTTGGCTTGAAGAGTAACTCCTCTCTCTTTTCTGAATGAATAAAGAAATAAATCATTTCTGACCAAAAAGAAGGAAATAATTATTATTTGACTGCTAAAATAAAAGATTCAGTTGAGGTATAAAGAGAAATAAAGATATTAAAAAGTTGGATCTTGTTTACTAATAATTTGAATCCACCAAGCATCAGCTAATCATTTCTCTAAGTTGAATCAACAATTTCTTAATGATATATAGAATATATATTTTTAAGTTAATTTTTTTTCTTATTTTCTAAAATTAATTACATAACTTTTGGTAATTATGTTATTACAAATAAATAAGAAATATCACAATTATACAATCGACAAAGTAATGTTACAGTTACATGATAATTAAGAAAATAATAAATAAAGAGAAATGGTTAAGCAGTCGGATTTGGTTTCTTCAGCTGGTTTGATATCCGGTTAAACCACTTTTGACCATTCGTGAACTCATCATAATCATTTATACAATTTAATTGATTTGCAAACCTAATAAACATTTACAAGTAAATTTTACTCATTTTCAAATCGAATATATGGATTCTAATTCATGTTTACAAATTCTTTAGTTTTCTTTGTGATTGTGTTTTTGTATTTTTCAAATCCATTTAAGTCTCTTGTAAAATAAAATCCATAAGCAAATCACATGCACATAACATTAAAAAAACAGCTAAATACAAATGCATAAAACAATGTTTAATCTATTATATAAAGGAGTGCTTCCCTCCTTCTCAAGGATGCCACATAGGCTCCATGTCATTATGTCCACCTAGGATTTTTTGTGCCACATAGATAAGTCCTTTTAAATATTAATTTCTTTCACAATCATCTTCTCTATTTTTTTTTTTTGATTCATACACTCTTATAATAGTTTGAATCTCTAGCAGAATTTTCAAGGAGTGTCCTCATCCATATGATAAGCAGAAGAACCAACTTGACAGAGAATTGGGGTTTGGGTCGAAGACAAATCAAGTTCTGGTTCCAGAAAAGAAGAACTCAGCTTAATGTTATGTGTGTTAATCTCTCTCTCTCTCTCTCTCTCTCTCTCTCTCTCTCTCTCTCTCTCTCTCTCTCTC